AAAAATGGGAAGGATAACACAGGATAGGAAGGCATAATGCAAAGGTATGGATATGTCAAATAAATTCACTGGCTGAAAAACTTCTGAATTCGCTTGAAATCATGACAAACATACTGAACAAATAGACATGGAGAGCACCGTATGGAAAACGTACGAATATCATGTATATGGTAATGATCAACAGACGCTAGAAAACATCAGTTCGACGATGCAGAACATTGCAAGGAGCCAATGTGTCATTGAACCACAGCTTCGCACTATGCAAACTATGACTAAAACTAACACGTATATCCAGAAAGCAATATGAGAAGAAGAGGAACATAGAAGCACTCGAGAACGAGGAGAAGGGGATATATGAAGATGAAATATCGAGTAGAATCAGGGAGGCAAAAAATAGAACACCTTTTCCTAGTCAGCAAGGCATGCGCACTGAAGCACATCGTGGAGCAAACAGTAGAAATAAAAATACCCTTAGTAGTAAAACCCAGAAGGAAATGGATAACTGAGAAAATCTTGGAACTAGCACAGGAAAAGAGAAAAATGAGGCTAAAGATAACATAATCTGATTACATGGTGACTAAGTACAAAAAGCTAAGCAATGAGGGAAGGACATCATCAAAGAGCATAAGCAGGAATGGCTGGAAAAGCAATGTAGCGAGATTGAATACTATGCTGGAGAATACAAGACCTGGGAGGTGAACAAAGTAGTCAAGAGCACAAATATGAAGTGGCAACCAAGGCAAACAGCTATTAAAGGCAATATCTTGATGGACAAAGAAAAGACAAAAAAGAGATGGACTGAGTATTGTAGCGATTTGTATAGGGATACGGATCAATAGAATAAAGAGCTGCTAGATGAACTAGAAAATATATCCCCACCACCAAGGGATTATGAAAATTCTAACATCTTGCATGAACATTTTTAAATGGCAATAAAACATCTGACAAAAATAAAAGTCCAGAAGTGGACAGCATAAGCGAATAAATGATAAAATCTGGAGAGAAGGAACTTATAAAATAAATCCATGAGCTTTACGAGCAAGTATGGACAGAAGGGAAAATACCAGAGAAGTGGAGAAAATCCATACTTGTGACGATACCCAAGAAAGTAGATCTCACCAATCATAAAATTTACATAACCATCGTACTAATGAGCCAAATGGGGAAGATACTTATAATATATCAAGGGACCTCCTTTGCCAGTACCAAAATATGATAATAGGTTTTTCAAGTCATGACCCCTATTTTATGGCAAAACACCAAACTGGCTATCAACAAAGATTAATTCATGAAGCCATCTATATATACTGACACAGACACAATTTAAACTGACAACATGGTTATAAACTCAGCAACCATTGGAAAGATGTCATCAACCACTTTGGGTCATGACTTGATTTGTGTTTTCTTGTCAACCTCAACCGTCAGCAGTGTGGGTGTGTGGAGCGAGGTGCAATGGTTGCCTGGAGGCCCTTTAGGTGGAGATCCACTGCCGGCCTACGTGACTTTACTGAAAGAACCAAATAATATGAATTCCTGCAGTCACGAAAGTTTTAAGTCAACATTTAAAAGTCTTCTGTTCAGAAAAATGGAAGGAACCAGAAAGTCTAGATTTGAAGTTTTCGTGACTGCAAGGGTCCATACTATTTTTACCTACGTGACTTTACCGAAAAAACCAAAGAGTAGGAACCAGAAAGATTGAAATAATGGCTTGACGACTTAAGAGATTGGTGCCATGAAAATGTGCACTTCTTGAGCATATTGGCACAAGACAGAGGAAAGTGGACACAAATTACTAAATGTGCAGAGAAGACCTATGGGCTATCTGCCCATGGGTCCTGATGATGATGCTATATGACATGTACCGTCATCTCCAAAGCAATTGGCTACATTGTAAGTTGAAGATAATAATTCAATAAAAAAGAGAAGATAATATTGGAGACCAAGACAAAGCAGAGCCTTGTGTAACACCATAGTTAATAGTGAAATGCATTGCATTGGCAACCAACAACCACAACATATCAGAAGGAAATATATCCAAGCTTGCAAATTAAAATGGGTGCCACATGTTGGTCAACTGGCACGTATTGCACAATGCCATACCAGATCAATGATTTAACAATCTCAGGGGCTATGGGCATAAACTCTCCAAAATGTTTAAGGCTTGAGCTGAAAATATGAGTCACATGAGCTGACAGATCACCTTTAGGTCGTGCTTTATGAATCCATACGGATGTATGTACTATATATATATTCTTAGGTTTTTTCGGTAAAGTTCACGTAGGTAAAATTAATAAAAGTAAAATAAAATAAAAATCATGACGTTTCGGAGGCAACACAAGCTTCCGTCTTCAGGTGGAACCGTCACAGCCACGACAGCTGTATCAAGTAAATGAGAGATTACAAGAGCTACCATTCCGTATATATAATGGTTGAAGAGGGGAAGGGCCAAGTACTGCACACTTTTTATTAATATGGTAAGGTGAGGCTTAAGACTAAGAATAGACTACATAACAAAAGACTGAGCCTTTGTTATGGAGAGGTGCGGTTTGTGACTACGCCTAGCCTACATAACAAAAGTGTGAAAAAAGAAAAAACTAAACCTGGTAAAACAAAACTAGCTGTCTATCAATAACCTGTAATAGTTGTGTGTCAAATAAGATGGTTCAAATAAGTGTAGTTAAATCTTTTTTGCATGGTTAATCATATCTTTCCAATGATTACTCAGTTTGTAACCATCATCACGGTTGAAATTATGTCTGTGTTTGTATATTTGTATGGCTTCGTGTACAAACCTTTGATGGTAGCCAGGAGATTTGAAGAGCACCTTGGTCTCGGAAAAGACAATTTCATGAGAGCCCACATAGTTGTAGCAATGATCGGCAACGGCCGAAGAATCAGTTCTACCGTGTTTCAGATCTGACGATCAGAAACATGACGTTTTGTTTCTCCAATGTAGCGATCACCACAACTGCAACTCAATTTGTAGACTCCAGGATACTGTAAGTCAGGAACGACATCCTTCACAGATGGAATCAGATAACGGATTTTATGCACTGTACTGAATCAGACTTGGATCTTATGTTTGTTTAGAATTATAGAGATCTTTTTGGTCACGCCTGCTATGTATGGTAACGTGATAGTTTTGGTCGGAGTTTCATGTGGCTGTTTCTGTATGGTGGGAGAAACAGCTTGGCGGATGAGTTGCAGTTGTGGTGATTTCTACATTGGAGAAACGAAACGTCATGTTTCTGATCGTGTCCGCGAGCACAAGTCAGATCTGAAACACGGCAGAACTGATTCTTCGGCCGTTGCCGATCATTGCTACAACTCTGTGGGCTCTCATGAAATTGTCTTTTCCGAGACCAAGGTGCTCTGCAAACCTCCTGGCTACCATCAAAGGTTTGTACACGAAGCCATACAAATATACAAACACAGACATAATTTCAACCGTGATGATGGTTACAAACTGAGTAATCATTGGAAAGATGTGATTAACCATGCAAAAAAAGATTTAACTACACTTATTTGGACCATCTTATTTGACAACTATTACAGGTTATTGATAGACAGCTAGTTTTGTTTTACCAGGTTTAGTTTTTTCTTTTTTCACACTTTTGTTATGTAGGCTAGGCGTAGTCACAAACCGCACCTCTCCATAACAAAGTCTCAGTCTTTTGTTATGCAGTCTATTCTTAGTCTTAAGCCTCACCTTACCATATTAATAAAAAGTGTGCCGTACTTGGCCCTTCCCCTCTTCAACCATTATATATACGAAGTGGTAGCTCTTGTAATCTCTCATTTACTTGATACAGCTGTCGTGGCTGTGACGGTTCCACCTGAAGACGGAAGCTTGTGTTGCCTCCGAAACGTCGTGATTTTTATTTTATTTTACTTTTATTAATTTTAATTTTTTACCTACGTGACTTTACCGAAAAAACCTAAGAATATGAATCCTTGCAGTCACGAAAGCTTCAAATCTACTGTATATATGTTGAACTTATTTCGCACCGTGGATGGCCAACTGTGCTAATCGGAGGTGTGGGGTGGGACAACAGCCTAAACAAAAAACATTCTAGTGTATGTTGTTTAACTGTGAATTATCGAACTAATCATACGTACTGCATATTATCAAATTAACATGAGCCATTGCAATTCATATGACATTAATCCCCCTCTGGTCTTCGCACCTGATAGGCTCACAGTGATGATATCACCTTTATTCCTCGATTCTGGCAAATTGCCTGATGAAGCTGGTTATAATCACCAGCGAAACGTCGTACTCAAATTGTAAATGTTGTGGGATTACACTCCAACACACCAGTGTGCTGAAGTAGCAACTAATTGACACGTTTTGTTTGGTTAACAAACCTTACTAATTGGCTGTGTCGGGGGGTGGCGGGTTTAACGACACATTTATATTCACGAGATCTAACCCAAACAACTTTTGTTATGGAAAATGAACTCCAAGTGATTATTTTTTTTAAGGTAAATTCTATCAAATTTGAATAGTAAAGCAGTTTTAGTGATATGATGATAGTCATTTATAGAATTTGAATCACCAGAGTGTGGGTAATATGCAAGAGCTTGAATAATATGAGTGTTTTGTGAGTGGTAAATGCATGATGCGTGTGTCTAATGAGTGCTGTCTGGTGATGAGTGTTTGATGCACAAATATGTACTAGCAAAACATCCAAAGTATAACGAGTGCAGTGTGCCTTATGAAAATTCCAAGTTAATTAAGTTGTGCAGTCTGTTTACGGAATATCCACTGTTGCTTTTACGTGAAGCATCGTTCACCAGGTGATAATTTATGCACTTAGACCTGGGCGCTCTGTCATTATAAAGTTTAACTAATTCATTGGTATATTTACCGACGTACGAAGTTTCCTTAATAATATTTCCTATTTAATTTCCGTTAAGAGGCTGTTATCGTTGTTAAAAAACTATTGTTCAGTCAGACTGTGAGAATCGTCTGTTTTAACCGGGGTTAGTCATACCAAGTGAGACGGTAGAAGATGGATGAATGGGTGTGTTCTTCATCAACCTGCAACGATCACCAGGGTGGAATACCAGTCACAAATCTTCGAAGCATAGCAGAGCGAAACATTTAATTACAGCATCTGAAAACAAGACCATAGCTCGTGCTTTAGATAAAAAGGTTCATGCTAAGCATAACTTGAGACAAGAAATTGCATTTAAGAAATACAGAAAAGTAGTTTCATAAATTGCGAATTTAATATACCTGGCTTTTTTTTTATATATCTCGATAAATAGAATGAAAATGGCAGAACAAAAGTAAGAGATCATCAAAGCAAAAAAAGTGATAAAGTAATGACACCAGAGAGTTACAACGTGGGTAGCAGGGTAAGAAGTAGGGTTTTTAAACGACAAATGTAAACCGGTAAACACTTCCATAATTAATTACCGGTTTTGAATGTCTTGAACCTGTAATAGTTTCCAGTTAAAATTTCGTCATGATTGCACTGATTGGCAAGTGGCCGAAGCGCATTGCCCTCATTTCTCAGTTAAAAGGTGAAGATGTAATCCTGACATTGCTTGTTTGCTCACGGCACTACTGGTGGAATAGCCGCCACTGGATGAAGTTTTAGAGAGTACTTAGTCCACTCTTCCATGCTGACCAGACTTATCTGCAGAGGGCACACCTACACCTTAATCCACCACACCATACCTAACAATTGTCTAACTGTTGTGAACTAATTTATACTGCCAGTGGACAGAGGAACATTTTTTTTAAGTTGGCCCATTGCTTCATCTGCCACCCTAGTAGATTTAATGGAAACGGTGACCTCTAGATTGCAAGTCCAGTGTTCTATCCATTACACATCCCTTCGTAAAATGTGCATATTGATTGCTCTAGACCTATCCATATATTGAGGGGTTTTATCGGTTACTGGAAATGCTATAAAACTAGTTTAACATCAACAAGCTATTGATAACTAACGTTTCTTCACTCACAAAGACAACGTTCTCGCTATTTAACGTATATACTGTATGGGCAACTTATGCGAGCGAGCCTCTATTGCTATGGAGTAATGTGGCCAGCACCTCGTCTGATACTGCACAAAAGTAATGGCGAACACCAGCCAATTAACTCGTCCCCAGGCGTTCCCACTCCTGAAAAAGGTGCTTTCTATAAAATAACTACAGGGCAATGCGTCGTCGGCTCTCCCATTAAATGCTTACCAACATTAAATGCATTTAAATAGTTTTATTTTTACCCTGAAATGTAATTGCCGTTTACACTTGCTGTACCTTCACGGCTTCTGACTTGAGAACAACATGAGACTTGGTGTAGGGTGAGCGGTCAGCTCGAGTGACAATGCCGTGTTGTATCACTCATCCATTTGCTTGCCTGCTTTATAGGGGAGACGTGTTGCAAGTCCAGTGTTAAATGCCAGCCAACTTGATCTATTCTGTTGATGACTATCCCACCATTCGTGGATTTTTTGATAGATGCGTCAAATCACGTGAATTGTTCACTTTGGCTGAGAGTAGAGTCCTGTATGGGTCTAACTTAACCCGCAAACTGACCCGTGACTATCCAACCCTACCCGAACCCGCAACCCATTATAACACGACAATATTGGACATCTGTGAAACTGCTCCACATCTGTGAAAAGACTGGATATCTGTGAAAAAGATCTTCATACTTAACTCACAACCCGACCCGACCCCACTTTTTTTCGATCAATTACGTCTACGTTTCGATGCTACAGTATTCTCGCAGTGTTAAAGTGCTCACTTCCACTAAATCTAAAGGCCTCCGATCTTAAATACGAATCGTGGAAAACATGTAACCACATATGCACGTGTGTAAGTTGAACTTATTTCGCACCGTACGGAGCCAACCATGCATATGAAGGTTAAGGTGAAAATTCATATTTGTAGAAAACAAACTTAGAGGAGTCGTCTACATAAGAACGTTGAATAAAAAAGAATAGAATAATGTTGGTGCATCATGGTCATCCAACCGGAAGCCGAAACTTAGTAGTTTTGAGGGTTAGCTGCGAGGACTCAAGCTGGGAGTGCCGCAAAGCATCACAAGTCCTGATGTCAGCAAGCAGAAATGTAACCACTTATCAGAGAGCACATGAGTCAACATTCATTGCTAAACAAGAGTATTATATCTTGATTTGAGGCTTTCGTGACTGCAGGAATTCATACTCTTTGATCTATTAAAATAAAATAATAGGTGATCTATTATTTTATTATTTTCTATCTACGTGACTTTACTGAAAGAACCAAAGAGTAAGAGTATTATAGAGTACGTTTGGAAAGCTGAACTCGTTAATAAAAGTATCACACTTATTTGCCTTACTATGCATTTTTTATAAACTACATTCTACTAGATATGTACTACGCTTCAGAAATATGGATTTTGACAAAAATTTAAACAAAAGCTGAAGGTTGTGTAAAGACGCATAATGAGGTGGATGTCTGAAATTAAAATTGGAAACAAGAAGAGCACATGGATTAGGCAAAAATGCATGCCAGAGATAACACATTGACTCGTCGGGAAAGTAATTGCACTTGGGCAGAACACATCGTTGGAAGGGATGATGACCGATGAACAAAAGAAAATGCACCTGAAAGAACGATCACAACAGAGATGTAGTTATTAGATCAGCTTACGGACAGGATTTGGATAGACTGTGGAATCGCAGGACCGCAACGAATGTTGACCGCTGGGGAGGCCTTCAACGAGGCGACGATTGAAAAACATGATTAGTAGAGTGACAAACGCGAATCTATACATCTATCCTATCGCACTATTTTCCATTGAAAATTGGTTTTATACCCTTACCTGTAATATTAAGACTTTCACATAACGCTTTTGAAAACGAGAACACATTTTGCAATCCCCAAAAACCACTATAATACATAATCCCCTTTTCTCTCCACCTGATGACGACCGCTTGTGTTGCGATCGAAACGTCGTGAGTTTTTTTTAATATTTTTTGCATTTTTTAATTTTTTAAAAAAATTTAATTTTCATTTTATTTTCTATCCATGTAACTTTACCGAAAAAAATAAGATTATTAATAAGCTTTTGATATTTTTTAAATGTAGGAATACATCCCTCCCCCATTGAGAAATGCAGGATATGCTTAATATTCCCATGGAAATTATTATAATATTCATATCACTCAGAATTCGGGAAGTAAAGTAATTCAATGCAGTTTTAAATAAATAAAAGTGACGTGCGTTAGGCATTGAAATCAACATTAAATTAGAAAAAATAACGGGTTCATAAAAATCTGAGCTTTTGAATGTAAGAGAGGAAAACGATGTCAACTACATACTTGCCTATTCGTAAGCCAATGGACCCTTGTTATATTTTAGGAGGATAACTCTGAGCCAGTTTCGACCTTCTCGCAATAACAAGTAGATTGTAATTTTAGGATATTTCCCCAGCACTACTCTTACTAGCTTTAGCTTGACAAAAAAAAATCAAATCGTCTTACTACACAAATTTATAATGTGCATTTACTGCGTTTTAACGTGTCTGGAAATGTGGTCACTTCGTAAATTAGAATTATATAGCACTGCACATGAATGCCAAAATCCAAACCGAAGCTGGTATTTTGAAGGCAGTTATGCTGCAATTATTGGCATTTAACCAAATACAACTGTGCGCTTATAGTGAAACTAAAGGAACATGATCAGACTTCATGCTAGATGTACATCAAGGGTTATTCTAGAATAAATAATTACTATACCTGGAGCAACACTCACTGTGTTGTGTGCATCCTATGAATGCATGCCCATTGCCTTATATACATTTTCAGGGCACCCTTCACCAGGGCAACATAACACAACTGAACGATGCGTGACAATACGAGTCATTTTTTCGTGGCTTTAAATAGTGCAGCTTAACAAACACAGTGTGTTGCTGGGATTGATGCAAACAAGCCCATGGTTGTTAAGTTTTAATTGATGTGGGAATAATTGCGAGAAAACTGTGTGAATGATGTCATGGATGCACAATGGTTATTTTTGCCAGGGCATGCTCGGACCTGTATGTGACTTTGTTCATCCACTGTTAAAATGGATGCACAACAGCATCCAAATTGCCGTTTCACTTAAAGTATGTAAACGAAAAACAAACATCTTATTGTCAAAGGAAAGTCATAAGGTCAATGTGAGGTTGCTGCGTGCTCCCTGTGTCTTTCTATGCATTCATTCCATGCCTCTTATGTGTTGTAGACTTATATATTGTAATCTAACCTCTTGTGTAACATGTTGTGTGTCTGTTCAGCTATGATGATTTTATGTTTTATTTGAATACATTTTGATTGAACCTGGATGGATCTTTGATATTTAGGTCACACTTTTTTCCGAAAAGTAATATATGAACAAAACGATGCAGGTATACACTTAAGTTAAACAAATAATCGTATGTATATATTTATAACGGATATATTTCTGCTCTAAAGGGAATTCTGGTTGTGGTCGTAAAGCTACCCCACCCCGACCTACTGTTCCCGCCCACCATTGTTGCGTACACACTCCTCCCCTTCCCCATCCACCACCCCACCATTACCCCCACACGTCACGTTTTTCACAATTTTGGATTTTCACGATGTTGTTATCAGTAAGTCCTCGTTTAGCACGGTAAATGCGTTCAGCATAAAACATTGCCGTGTTAGGTTAAAAACGGGTTCAGCAAAAATACATTTTCCCATAAAACATGTAACGATAAAGTTGGGTGAGATATGATGTACACACACAGTAAAATGGTGGGTACAAATAATTAAGGGTATGCCGCCTGCGTTATTGTATTATACCGCTCAGCCGCGCAACTCATGGATGTAGTTTGTCATCGACTGCTCAGAAACCACGTTATGACGGTGCACATTCCGCTTTATAACATTATGCGAAAAGTGTTCCCTAATGGGAGAACCGCGTTATAGCGCAAACACACCGTGTGTGTGGGTTGCTCTTTTTTATTAATATGGGAGAGAGGGGAGTTCGGATCCTTTTCTCTTCCATGCAATTCCCTCAATTATATAGGGCACCAATGCGAACTTTTGAACTTGCTTTAGTAGCGGAATGAAAAGGACAATAACTCAATCCAGAATACTGAGATTTAACGAGATTTAAAATGTATTAACTATTCATCGAGACTGTCCAATGACACGAATCAAACATTGTCGGATTATAATAACTTCACACTTCTACACAGCGCCCCCGTGAGTCAACAATTACAGATCACTGAGTACAACCGAATTTTCAAAACTCTCGCCAAATGCCACCGCGCGTCGACAAAGCACAGAACACCAAGTACTACCGACTCCTTGAAACTTCTCAAAACTCGAACAACACACGGCTACACAGTGCCCCCGTATGTTGACAATAACAGAGCACCGTGGTAATAAAACATACAGAAAACACGACCATTCCTACAAACCCTTACGCCTTCTCCACTCTTGGGTGATGGGAGAAGGCAGCATAAGGGGCCATCCATTTAGTACGTACGCATGGAGGGTACGCTTGCGTATGGGGGGTTTACTGACAATGTACGTACGCATAGGAAACGAGGAGAGGGGTGAAGCCTCGAAAATATTTTATCTACATTGGCCTTCAAATGAGCCACAGTTCAGTTTCTTCAGCTGTCAGACAAGTACTACCGGGAGAAGTAGGACTGTGGGAGACAGGGGCGGTTTCTTCATTAGGGCGATTGGGCGACGTACCACCAATGTCATTCAACCACAGTCACGCTAGCCGTCACTCTCAGCCTCTGGATATAGTCCAATCAGCGTCATGTCACGTTCTGTGGAGTACCGCCTCTTTTGGGGCGATTTCACTCCGGCTGAGAATCGCCCCGAGTGGCCCCATAGACTTACATTGAAAGATGTTTTTTTTCGAACGGGGGCGCTCCAATGCATTCTCTATGGCTCCGGGAGGGCAAGCCCCAACGTGCTTACGTCATCATACGTGCTTACGTCATCATACGTAAGCACGTTTCATCCAACAATATAATTTATCGCTACCTATAGGAATTTTTAATAAAATAAACTTGAGTGGTTTGTTTTAATAGTGAGTATATAAACAAACAAGATGTATTGTAAGAGTCACTTTATTTTTCATTAATATTAAAGAAGTGAAGTTGCCTTTACATGCTTAAGCTGTTAATTTATTCATTGCATGGGTGGACCTTATCCTTATCAATCATCCAGACATTTGCCCCCCCTGAGAGATTTTGCAGGAGCCGCCAATGGTGGGAGAGGTGTCACTTGTATGCCACCGTACCCCTGACTGCAGTTATTACGCAGCTCAACAAAATAAGTGGCCAAGGTACGCAACTTAATTATTTAATGCAGCAGTCGGTGGACTATCTGTTTGCTGAAACACGTTAATATTATTAATCATTGGTCGTTTCTGCATGGATCAAATATCGGCCGTTCTATAGAATTCGGGGGGAGGGGTTGCGTCAAGCGTACATACGCAGGTGGGGGGGGGAAGTACGCGAGCGTGCAGGGAGGGGTTAAGTTTTGATAGATGTTTGCGTATGTACTAAATGGATGGCCCCTAAATCCAAAATACAGGAATCTGCAGTCAAGGTCGTGTGCAGCCTCAAGGATTACCAGGACCCAACAGTAGTGTCTTGTTTAGCATTTACAGCGGCCCTCTTGAAGTATCCATTCAAAAGATGGTATTTGTACTTGGTGGAACCCTCAAACTGCACGTTGAACAACTCAACACGGCTGCGGTCGAGGTCCCGGAGCACCCGCTGGTCTTCTCCCAGAGTCCTGTGGTCGTGGAAGGCGTCGATCGTCTCTCTCCCAACCCCGGTAGCCCCGGCTTAAACCGACAAACTTAATCCAGCTCTCAAGGCCTCTATCTCTCTCTCCTGAGCAGCCCATCAGCTGCCTGTTGCTCTCGGCTCCTGACAATCAACTTGGCATGTGCAGCATCCTCCAATTGGAACCTCGAAAATTAGTTATATTAAATCCTATTTTTATTTGGCAACACCTGCCACCAATCACTTATCGACCCGTCGACTGTCCCCTTGCTCCATGCCACCTGGCCTATCCTGACTGGCCAATTTGTGTCCTGCCCCCAATTAAGGCCAGACTGAGTGGTGCCGTTATTTCCAGAAGGTGGGGGTTTTGTGGAGATGCTCTCCCCTTAACACTCACCCCCCTTACCTCATGTAACCTCAGCCACTTTGGCTCACCCTGCATGACAGCGCTTACCCACATCGTTAGTGTGAACTTGCATTAAGCGAGGACTTACTTTACTTGAAAATAATACACAGCCTTATTTATTGCAGTGTACCTGCAGCTGTCAATGGTTCAGGTCTTAGTTGAGGATCAGCTCCAAATGTTTTGTCTTTGCTTAGACCATTTTTATGAGAAAAAAATATCAGGAAACTCATAATTGTAAAAGGTTCGTTTCATTATTTCATTTACTATGGGGGGCTATTCACTAACTGCCATACATTTATGCTACAGAAACTCATGTCAAGTGATGTAAAGCCTACGCGAGAAAGATGCGGAAATCAGTTTGCCGTTCTAGGCCGAGGTCTCACAAGTGTGGCGGCAGCTGGCCTGAGATAGCTCCCGTCTCCAAATTGTGAAGGGGATCGTTCTTTTTCGAAGGTAAAGCTGATTTTTTAAAACTGTCTCTGATCAACCATCTTTATTGCAAATTTTGCAATTTAAAAATCTCAGTGTTACTTTATCTCACTTAATGAAAAAAAAACGATTGACATTAACAAGACTGCCACTTTGTATATACACTGTGCCTATTATTGCTATATACATACAGGGTGTTTAACAAAGATGGACCCGATTTAAAATCGCAAAATCTCTGCAACCACGAACCGCCCATGAGTGAAAATCTTACCACTTGAAAGGGCGGGGCATAGAGTTTCAAATTTACCGCTAGAAGCCTCTCCCAGCGCACCAACAGCCCCTTAATCTCAGTCATTCGCTCAGTCATTCTCTGCCTCAACGTTGGATAGGTCGCACGGGACCCCAAGACTTGACGCTACATTCTTGGCCCCCAAGATCCCCAGACATCACACCCTGCGACTTTTTCTTGTGAGGATACGTCAAAAACCGTGTTTTTGTGCCATCATTAGCGACAAATCTGGATGACCTAAAAAAATAATCATGACACTTTGAGAGGCGTTTGGAACGAATTCAACTATTGTCTTGATGTTGTCTGTACAGCAGGTGGAGGGCACATAGAGCATTTATAAAATAGTTATTAAAACTAGATAACTCATTAAACCGTTTGTAACTTTTGTGTAAATGTAACATGTTGCCATCATGAATTATATTGCTTTGAAATTGGGTCCAGCTTTTTAAACACCCTGTATATTTATTCAAGATATCTTGGTTTCATTTTGGAATCATACAAACAAAATAAACATGGTCACATGTTTTTGTTCATGGGCCCTAGATACAGCGCTCACTGTATTTGAAGCTTTCGTGACTGCAGGAATCCATACTCTTTTGTTCTTTCGGTAAAGTCATGTAGGTAGAAAAAATAATACATCACGACGTTTGGATTGCAATGCAAGCAATCATCATCAGGCGGAAGAAAGAGGAGGGAAGCTGCTGATGCAGGCTGCTTTTAAAGGTTAGAGGTGGGCGTAGCCCCAGAGTCATAGACGAAGTGGGGGGGGAGGCTAGTGACGTTAAAGTGAGAAATTTGCATGTAAATGTACTGTGTTTAGCATGTCAATGTAAGCTCGCAGTGCGCCGTCACATCGAGGACTGCAT